GGGCACGGCGGGCGCGGGGCAGCGGGTGCAAAGCGTGTGCGCGACTGCGGTGTGCGGGGCCCGCGGCCCCCCGCCGGGCGCCGGGCGGGTCCGGGGCAAGGATGCGTCTCCGAGCCGCCGCGGCGCACGCCTCCGTTTCTTACCCTTTCTGGTGTTCCTCCGTCTGTCGTGGGTCGCTGTCCGTCCCGCGGGGGCTCAGTGCTTGGTGGCTGCCCCCGGCCCGGGGCAAGGACAACAAACTGGGTGCGGTGGGGCCCGGTCATCCCCGCTTCCCACCCTGGGTGCCTTGTCCCCGGACTCTGCCAGCACCCTTCACCTCCAGAACTGTGTAGGGAGCCTGGAGGGGGACATCCGGAGGCCCGAGCCAAGCCGGTCTTTCCGGCCGGGGTGATTTTCGTTTAAAGATTAATGGTGAGGCCGAGCTCTTAATTATTCGCCTATGTAGAAGGTGGCAGGAGAGGGGTGTTAATATTTGATAAGGAGCTGAAGGCGCCTCCAGCGTCTGGGCACAGGGATCCAATCTGGCACCTTCTCTGCGACCCCACAGGGAGCCATCTCCTTGGAAGGAGGCCCCCATCTGCCAGTCCCCATCTCAGCTACCCCTCGGATGGTCCTTGGGGTCCACCTGGCCGAATTTCCTCTCTAAAGCTAGATGCTCCTCTCTTGGAGTCATGGGTGAGGGCTGAGGGTGCCCTCAGCAGCAGAGAAGGAGACCTTTAGCTGGCCCATGGTGGGGTATGAGGGGCATCCTGCAGCAACTCCCCGCCTCTTCCTAGGAGAGGAGGAAACAGAAAAGGTGGGATGTGAACATTTTCACATGTAGGGTTGGAGGCTCGAAACCTACTTAAGCTGCTGGGCTTGTAGAAAGAGAAATGCTTTGCAATTAAGGTGGCTGCTTTGTAGCTGTGTGGCTTTGGGTCACTTACCTCCTTGGTAAGTCAGTTTCCTCCTTGGGTAAGTCAGTTTCCTCCTTGGGTAAAAGTCAGTTTCCTCGCTTACAAAAGAGAGTAATCTGACTCAGGTATTGTTCTAAGGATTCAAATAAGATAGTGGTAGTAGGTGCTTAGTGCCGTGCCTGTCACTCCGTAGCCACATGGCCTGGGCCCCACCAGCCAGGAATCTCTCTCAGCCGCCCCCTCTCACAAGCTGTGCTCCCCTTAAGCGCTGGGGCTTTCTGACTGGGAGCTGCCGGGGGTCCTGCTTCCCCCCCCCCCCCCCCCCCCCCCCTCCCCCCCCCCCCCCCCCGCCCATTTCATCTCCTAGGGAACCTGAGGCTGGAGAGTGACCAGGCTGTACATCGACGTCCTCAGACCATCTGCTGCCAGGGAGAGAGGAGGGGAGAGGGTCATAGGCCCCTTCAGAGTCCCAGACCTAGCCAGGAGCTGCTGAGACTTTGCCCAGGGCATCTTCGGGTTTTGCTAAGCTGGTTTTCAGGATTCCTCCCTCCCCCTGGAGTGGGAGGGTGTGGTGAGCAAGGTCCACCCGAGAGAACGTCTTCGATCAGCTGTAAAGCAGGGGGCTGGGGTGGGTACGTCAAGGCTCGGGGACAGTGGCTGGGTGACTGGCGATGGTCGTTAGTCCTCTCACTCCATCTCTGGTCAGGGCAGATGGACTAGGCAGCATCTGAGCTTGGAGCCAAGACCTGTGGGTAGCTCCTCTCCTTCCCAGGTCCTCTAGGAAGTGGCCGGAGAGAACTGGCTGGTAATTATCTGTAAGGGCTGCTCCCTCATGAACCAGTACGGGAGTCTGAGCTGGTCCGTGACCCTGCCACCACTTGCCTAAAAACCAGCCCCCACTTACAGCCTTTGGATACAGACCTGCCCCCCAGCCTTGGCCTCATCAACATCACATTTTCCTGGCTTCTGCTTCCTAAAGAGCGTAGTTTCAAGAGCATTCAACCAAGCAGGTCAAAAGTCTCTGTTATTAAGTCAGTGGATCAGAGGTCACCATGACAACCCTAGGAGCTGTAGCCAGAAGCAAGGAAGAGCAAATTCCTCAGAAAAGCTCAGCCTGGACCAGATGGGCTCCAGGGAGGCTGACAGGGGTTCCACCCATCAGAGCTGGCTCCTGAGGGTTCCGGCTCAAGCCAGGCTTCCCCTGAAAACAGCTTCCCCCTGGGTATCAGTCACCAGGAGGGGCCAGCTCTACCTCAGAGGCGCCTTCTGCCTTCGGAACCTCTGAGACCCGGGAGAATCATAACAGGAAGCCTTTCTCGGATGCAAATGACCTCCCATCCAGTGCGTCCTTAGACACTGCCTCTGGGAGGTCAGTGGCAGCTCCTTCTGCCTGAGGAAGGAAGAAAGTGGGCTCAGAAAAGTTAATGAACTCTCCTGCAGAGAATAAGCAAGAGTCAGAGCCAGGACTGGAGGCCGGGTGGTGGGCTCCGGCATCAGAGTCTGCCAACACGCAGAGACGGGCCTGGATGGGAAGTGGCCACTGCCCTTTGCAGAGTTGACCCTCGTCAGGCTTCCCCAGATGCAGCAAGTCCCAGGGTCAGCAGAGCCCTGTCCCGAGCAGGGGGTGGACTGGCCAGGGGAAGACACTGCAGGGACTGTTCATCTCTGAAAGAGGCTGTGCCAGCAAAGTAGGCACAGCATTTGATCCAGACCTGGGAGACTGGGAAACCCCAGGTGGCTCTGAAGGGCCCAGAGTGTGAGGGTGGCCAATTTCCTAGAGATGCTCAGTCTCCTGGCCTTCCTCCCAGCCCCTGCCGAGAACCTGCCCCCTCTCCACCCCATGCGCATTGCAGGGACCCCAGAGGAGGTGGGCTTGGGTGGGGATGGATGTGCTCAGAGGCCTTAGCTCAGGCTGAGCAGGAAGCTCTGCTTTTCTTAGGAATTTCCTCATCCCTGAGTTCTTTCCAGCTCACTTCATTTCTCTCCTTGACTTTGGCCATCTGTGCCCTGACAGGAGATTGAGGAGGGGAGGGAGGGAGGAAGCCAAGGAGAAGGGAAGGACTCGTCAGGGACTTGACTAAATTCCAACTGCCTGGAGCACTCTCTACCATCTCTCATTTAATCCTCCCCACAGTCCTATGAGGTGGATGGTATTAGTTCCATTTTACAGACAGCAAAACTAAGGCTCAGAGAGATTAAGTGACTTGTCCCTAAACCCACAGCTCCTAAGTGGCCCAGCTAGAATTCCAGCTCTGATCAAATGCTTTATCCACCCTGCTGGCACAGACTTTCTTTTAAAAATCAATAGACTAATTTTAGAGCAGTTTCAGGTTTACGGAAACATCAGGCAGAGAGTACAGAGGAGAGGGTTCCCATGTGCACAGTTTGCCCTGTTGTCAACATCTTGCATTAGTGAGCTACATCCATGATGCAGCCTTTTTTCAGAGATGTTGGTTCTCCTGTCCGGAGGCAGAGTGGGGGATTGGAAGGCAAGTCTGTCTGGTCCCAAACACCAGGACTGCAGGTTGGAGGGACAGGGGAAAAGACGTAGCCGCCTTCCTCCCTGCAGGACTGTGAGAGTTTAGACAAGAATGAGTCTTAATAGCACAAGAGGGTGTGTTCCAGGGAGGGACTAGCCTAATCTCCCTCATCATCCCATCAACTCTGGGAGAGCAGCCAGGCTGAACGTGGCTGTATTGTCCTGGGGGGCTTCCTCTTCCCCTCTCACCAGCCTCCCTTCCAGGTTTGAGGGAGGGGATGCAAGGAGGGAGGGGGAGGCTGATGAGCAACAGGTAGAGAGTGTCCAGGCTAGCCCCTGGGGAGAGCTGACCCGCCTTGGAGGGCCCCTCAAGGGCTGCTGGCTGTCTGGTCTGCCTTGTCTAAGGCCAGTGCCCTGGGCAAGGGGACCAGTGGTTTGGCTGTGGGTCAGGGACGCCTGGAGCCTGGCTGTTTCTACCGCCTCCTTCTCCATCCCTACATTTTCTTCTCAAGGCTCCCTCCCCTGGGCCCTCTGTCCCCTGGGATGGCACCCCAGGAATGCTCTATCCCATCCCAGGCCAGGTTCTGACTCCAGGGATATTCCCAGCCTCTGACCCACTGTGTACACACACACACACACCACACACACACACACACACACACACACACAGAGCTGCTGTGTGCACACAGTTCACCGGCACTCGTAGAGACAGACGTGTGTGTACATAGATACACTGACGTGCTTCTGCACAGGCCTCACATCCTTCCTCTCTCTGTTCCAGGGTCACACTGGTGCTACCAGAATCAAGTCAAGCCCTCCAACTACACCTGCCTGGGTAAGTGCAGCGAGTCTCCAGGTTGAAATGGAGACCCAGGGAACGTGGGAAGGATGAGGTGATGGTGGCCCCAGTCAGATCTCAGCTCCTAACACTCTCTCTCTCTCCCTCCCTCCCTCCCTCTCTCTCTCTCTCTCTCTCTCCCTATCTCTCTCTCTCTCCCTCTCTCCTGGTGCTCAGGGCACAGGGAACATAGAGTGACCTGAGTTTTTACTGGGACCTCCTGTCATCATCTCTGACACCAAGAGAGTCAGCCCTCTGGTCCTCTGAAATAAATCAGGAGCAGCATCAAAGGGAGAAATTCATTTTGCTCCTCTCATAACAAAATGGAGAGTTGATTCTGTTCCAGTGACACCCCTGCATGTGGGCCTGGGTGGTGGTTCTTTGTACTTTTTCAAGCGCTGCCCGGATTCCTGCAATCTGCTTTCCTCCCACCGTTGCTGTTTTGGTGACTGGACAGTGCTCTCCAAGCCCCGGCCCCGCTCACTGGTATGGGAGGTCCCGGGTACAGGGGACTGGGCTCCCCTGGGGCTCCTTCCCTGCCTCCCAGGGTTCAGATAAGGCTTAGTGTCAAGTCATGGGGTCCTTTCACAAGCGGCCCTTCCAGGGGACTCCACCGCTTCCATGCACTCTCCCATCCACCTCCTTTGAACTTCGGAACCCCTGGGAAGCAGGTTATCACGGAGCTTTCCTTTCACAGCCCAGCATCTGAGGTGGCGCCCTACCCCAGAGCTCACACCTTAGACCTACCCTGTCCAACACCACGCCTTGCTGGTTTTGTGTGAGTGTGAGTGTCTGAGGAGGGAGAGGGGCGAGGGTGGAGCTCTGTGCTGGGCATCCCCCCAGCACAGCCTGCCAGCCATCCAAAGACCTTGCTGCCTTGAGCTGGGCCTGACCTGAATGGGGTGGAGGACGCCACACCTCGGTGCCAGGCGCCCCTGACTCCCAGCCCACCCTCTGTCCCTGCTCAGGGCCGGACCAGTGGGGCGATAGCTGCCAGAATGACCGCCAGTCCCCCATCAACATCGCCACTGCCAAGACACTGCTGGACCCAAACCTGGGACGCTTCTCCTTCTCCGGCTACGACAAGAAGCAAAAGTGGGCCGTGCAGAACAATGGCCACTCAGGTAGGACTCAGATGGGCTGGATGCAGGCCCCGGACAGCAGGGGCACGGGACCCTGGGACCCAAGTTCCCCAAGGACTGGAGGGTTGGACTCCTCCTGGCAGGGCACACCGGGTTGTCCACTTTTGCTGAGGAGAGGCTGAAAAGCCCTGGGGAGGCGGGGTGGGGAAAGCAGGGTGGACTTTGGAAAGGCGGGAACATTCTATCAGTATTTTCAATCCTGTATCAGAGCAATCTGTAGCGGGGGGATGCGGCAGGTTCTAGGAAGAAGGAACAGCATGGCACAGAGGCGTGAAACGGCTTGGGGTGTTCGAAGGGCTGCATGTGGACCCATGTGCATGGAGGACAGAACGAAGCCAGGAGGGGCCAGAGCCAGCCCAGGGTCAGTCCAGCCGGACCTGGGGCAGGTCGCCCGGGGCTGAGGAGTTTGGACGTGGCCCTGGGAACATTGGGGCACCACGCGTGGAGGGGGTTGAAGCACGGGCGGGACCGGGCTGAGTTGCATGTTTGGGCAGTGAGGGGTGCACAGGGGGAGAGGCAGACAGGGAGGCCAAGGAGGGGGCCAGGGGAAGGTCCAGGCTGTACCACTGTTCCTGTCCCTTCAGGCCCGGGACCGTAGCCCGTGAAGGGTGCGAGGTAGGAGAGAAGGTCCTGCTTGGCTGGAGCTGGGATGAGGGGCTGGGAGAGGCTGGGGGAGGTGGGTGCGAGGACTCTGCCCCCTCCTGTGCCCTCCAGTGATGGTGTTGCTGGGGGACGAGGCCTCGATTGCTGGAGGAGGACTGGCCGCCCGGTACCGGGCCAAGCAGCTGCACCTACACTGGTCCAAGGTGCTGGACTGGGGCTCGGAGCACAGCTTCGACGGGGATCGCTTTGCCATGGAGGTGAGGGACCTCTTCCCAGGTGGATGCCTTGGCTGGGCTCTAGGTATAGTTGCCTTGGGCAAGAAGGAGGGTCCAGCACCCTGACGGGTTCTCTCTCCATCCCTCTCACCCCTTACCAGATGCACGTGGTACATGAGAAAGAAAAGGGGACATCAAGGAACACGAACCAGAACCAGGGCCCCAAAGATGAGATTGCGGTGCTGGCCTTCATGGTGGAGGTGGGGCTGCCATCCCTCCGGGCTCGAGGGGCTGCTTCTTAGGATCCAGAGACCTGGGATCCCAGCAAGGCGGGAGGGGGCTGGAGAAGCTCGGACTTCCCCTCTGTTTCTCAGTGACTTGTACCTCCCCATGTGGGGAGCCCAGGGCCTTTGAGGGCCTCAGTCCCAGAAGCTGCGTGCCCGCCCCACCCCAGACCGGGAGAGTGAACTGGTGGTCTCCACCGGCTCCCCACAAGCCTCTCTCAAGCCCCTTTCCCTCCTGTTCCAGGCCGGATCCGAGAATGTTAACTTCCAGCCCCTGGTGCAGGCGCTGTCTGACATCCCCAATCCCAGTGAGTCAGGATGGTGAGGACCCGGGAGGCGGGGGGGCTGGGGGAGGGGAGAAGACGTCTTCCTACAGAAGAGGGTCTGGATGGTGGAGGAGCCTGTACTCTCAGAGTGAGGTGTGTGAGTCTCCCCAGACATGAACACCATGCTGAAAGACAACATCAGCCTCTTCGACCTGCTCCCCAAGAAGGAGAAACTGAGGCTCTACTTCCGCTACCTGGGCTCGCTCACCACACCCGGCTGCGATGAGAAGGTGGTCTGGACCGTGTTCCAGGAGCCCATTCAGCTCCACGAGGACCAGGTACACGGGGCCTGGCCGAGGGTGCAGCCTCCCCTGCGTCAGCTCCTGGAAACTGTCCCTTTGCGGGGGGCCCCAGGCAGTCTGGGGCTCAACAAGCCCCCAGGTGAGGCTAATGCAAGCTCAAGCTTGAGAACCACTATTCTCTGGTAACAGTGATGATAGTGATGGTAAGGTAATCACAGGCCCTCAAAGCCCAGAGCTGTGAGTTCCCTCTGCTTAGGACACTCATGGGAGCTGAGCCCCCATGGATGCAAAGCACTTTACATCCCTGATTCTTTTCCTCTGCACAAGAACCTGAGGGGGCTCAGAGAGGCCAGGCGACTGGCCTGAGGTCACACAGTGAGGAGTGCAGCTCCACCAGCTTCATCCCTCCCTGCTGAGCCCTGTGCCTTCCACAGATCCTGGCATTCTCTCAGAAGCTGTATTATGACAACGAGAAGAAACTGAAAATGACAGACAATGTCAGGCCTCTGCAGCCCCGGGGGCAGCGCCAGGTTTTCAGGTCCCAGGCCCCGGGACGGCTGCTGCCCTTGCCGCTGCCCGCCCTGCTGACCCCCGTGCTCACCTGCCTGACAGCAGGCTTCCTCTGATGACGACTCATGTTTGGACACTTGACCTCTGGTCTCAGCCCTTAAGAGGGCTTGAGCCTCTGTTCCTCAGGCTTCCCGGGTTGGACTTTGGTGATGATTAAAATATGGACATGTTTTTGGGGAAACCTCTCTTACGTCTGTTTTTAGTTCCCACAACTACTGCTTCCCTGCTCCCCTCAACCCACCCCAGCATGCCAGGGTGGGGCCTTAGGGCCGGGAGATTTCTTCTGAGCCGGCACCCCTCCCACCTTTGTGAATTCCCCGTTGACACCCCAATTGGAGAGATGCCAAAGGGACCTCAGAGCTCCAACACAGCCACAGCTGGAGAAGTTCCAATCCAGCCTTTCATTATATAATGGAGGAAGCTGAGGCCCAGAAAGGAAAGGAGGCTGGGTGGAGGCCACATAGTGAGAGCCGGCCAGCACCTTCCGCCCTGTACTAGCGGTGGAGACTGCGGGTCCTGGGTGGGTGCAGCCTAGTTGGGGTGGGTAGTGGGGTTCATTTATTAGCCCCAGTGTTCCTTGAGCATCTATGTTCTAGGCACTGGGGCTGTGGCGGGGAATGAGACAGACAAAACGCCTGTCCTCCTGGAGTTCACAGTCTAGCAGGAGACACTATAAATAAAGAGACACATTGTACACCGTATCAGAGGGCTGTGGTCAATCGGCGGGAAGGGGCATCCATCAGAAGACTTGCAGGAGGCAGTGGGGGGAGGCCACCTGGAGGCCAGCAAGTGTTCATGCATGGAGGGAGGGAGGGAGGGAGGGAGGGGGAGAGAGACAGTGGGCAAGTGAGGAGGGTGGGGAGGAGGAAGGGGGAGCGGGGGCCGTGGTGCAGGGGCTGCAGGGGTGAGGCGTACGGGGAGCAGTTAGGAGCCTGATGCCTCATCCAGGAGCTCCTGGGTCACAGGTGAATCCAAGGGTCTTTGGCCCTTGAACTTAGGAGCTTTCAATGAAGGCACACCTCCCCCACCCCAAGATCCTATCTCTAATGGCTTTTTCCTTTCTGGGGCCCAAGAAGGGAGTGAGACTAGGAGGCAGCAGGTGCAGAGAGGAGGGTCCAGAAAACAGGGAGAAAGAAATAAGGGCCCCACAGGTGGGTCCCAAGCCAGGCTGGGCCCTGGGCGCCAGGGGTTGAGGGGCCTCAGGCTCCGGGACCTCGTCATCCAGGGCAGGGCTGGAGTTTTGGAGGACCGTGAGATGGATTTTAAGAATGGATTTGGGGGGCTTCCCTGGTGGCACAGTGGTTAAGAATCTGCATGCTGATGCAGGGGACACGGGTTCGAGCCCTGGTCCGGGAAGATCCCACATGCCACAGAGCAACTAGGCCCATGCGCCACAACTACTGAGCCTGAGCTCTAGAGCCCACGTGCCACAACTACTGAGCCCATGTGCCGCAACTACTGAAGCCTGCGCGCCTAGAGCCTGCGCTCCGCAACAAGAGAAGCCACAGCAATGAGAAGCCCGCTTACCGCAACCAAGAGTAGCCGCAACTAGAGAAAGCCGGTGCACAGCAAGGACCCAACGCAGCCAAAAATAAATAAATAAAATAAATAAACTTAAAAAAAAAAAAAAAGAATGGATTTTGGAGGAGCATGAGAAGAGGGGAAGAGGCCAAGATGGGTGGCGAGGGGCCCTGGGGCCGGGGCCAGGTCAGCTAGTGCGGGGACAACCTCTCTGAAACAGGCTTCCCGTCTGGAGGTGATGAGATAGATTCCCACAGGAAGACGCAGAGCTAGGTCAGCACACATGGGATTCCACTACCGATGCTGGAAGCCCTGGCTTGCCGTTGGTCTCTGGAGGGGGGCTGGTTGGAGGAGGTGACCTCTAAGCCTTCTCGCACTTAGATACCCTCAGAGTCCCTGACCACCCGCAGCTAGGCTGAGGGACGAGGGCTGCTCCCCTCCATAGCAGCCTCCCTCTCCCTTTCCTCCTTCGTGACCAAGAATAAGCACCCCCTCCCTTCACTGCTGACCACACAGCCAGCCTTGGTGGGGGTGTTGGTATTACTGTCACTATGGCAACAGCAGGCAGCTTGTGTCAGCAGGGGGTGTGTGGACACGAACCTGTTCTCTGGTTCCCACGCAGGCAGGCTGGGGGGGGGGGGGCGAAGACACACGGTGCCCCCCTCCCCCTTTCAGGTTCAGGGCTCAGAAGTCTGAACTGCCCCTCCCCCGCAACTACACCCTCAAGGCAACGTTCAGTGAATAATGTGGCAGCAGAACCAGGAAGTCCCAGCTCTTTTCTAGCGAGTAGGGGAGCCTGGGCCTCTCCAACGCCCCGCTGCAGGCACACGACCCTCCCCCCACCCCCCACCGCCGTCCCTCTGACCCCGCAGTAATAAACCTGGCCAGTGGGGCCCAGAACGGGCACAGCTTGTCCAGGCCCCTGCACCTGGAGGCCAGAGCAGGTGCTGTCAGCACTCGACTTACAGCAAGGTCACTGCTGGCCAGTCACTCCGGGAGTGGGCAGCCCCGCCCATGGAATTGGCCCCTGCGCCCTGGAGGCTGAGGCCAGTGAGCTGTGTGTGCTCCTGAGAACCTCCTCTTCTGAGGGGTTTCACTCCCCTGCCCCCGCCAGCCCCCGTCCCCCACCCTCTGCAGACCCCTTCTCTGGAGAAGGTGCTCTAAGCTCCCCGTGCCCAGCCAGCCTGGCTCCTGACACAGCTCCCCCAGAGACGATGGGGGCTACCAGCAGCACCCCGCCCTTCTTTCATTCACTCCTGAGTCCCTGCATTGGGTACAACGTACACACACACACACACACACACACACACACACACGAGCACACACACTTCACTGCAGCCGACCAGGGCTGGGGAAGCCTCCGTGGCTGAAGGTTTGGGTCACCACCTGACTTCTAGGTCCCATAGCACAGACCATATGCACGTTCATTAAATGCCTGCAGGAGCCGCCATGGGCCACACGACAATCCTATAAGGTGGGTATTTCTCCCGTTGCACGGATGAGGTTGCTGAGGCACAGAGAGGGGTTAGGGGACCTGTCAGAACCCGGGGTCACTCCTCTGCCCAAGCCAGCTTTCTCCCTGACAGTCATCCAACCTCTGGAACAGGGGCGGGGTGGGGTCTGCAGCATGCTCTCCCACCCTGTCTCCACATGCTGCTCTGTATCCCTGATGGGCTGTCGCTCTGACCACCTGTTTAGATTTGGCACCTGGGAGGGAGCCAGGGGCTAAAAATACTCCCCATGTGTTTAGATAATTCTTAGAAAATAAACTTCCCCATCTTGGCTCTCAGCATGCACACTTGCTGGCCCCGGTTCCTGTGGCTCTGATCTGCCAGTGTTGGGAGGGGGATAAGGGAAGCAGGGGGTGGGGGGAGTAGTAGGGTCTGTAGGGGCCCAGAGTCAAGGGTGGTGGTGGTGGACGTGCCCAGGTGCACATGTTAAGTGTAAAGCCTGCTGTGTCACAAAACTCCAGGGGCTGCCTGTACGGGGACCGCATTGTGAACGCTGCCCCGGTGTGGTGGGCCCTGAGGCTCCGTGCTTCTGAGTAGGTTAGGGGTGGAAAGAGGCAGGGAAGCTGGTAACCTTGCAGGGATGGAAACATGGCTTCCCTGCTAGGGGCCTCTTTATCCTCCTGCAAAATGGGCTAAGGTTGGCCCTTCTGTTTAACAGGGCCTAGCTGTCCTCAGGCTCCTGCTGGTGACCTTGGGAGGAAGGCCAGACCCGTGTCTGTGGGTGGGACTCTGCTTCTGCACCTTGCATTACACGAGTTGTAGCTGGCTCTGCTTGTTTATCTGAATAGGGACAAAGGCATTATCTCCTCTAGGGACCAAGGACATGTTCCTGGCCCCCCTGCACCCAAGGAGGGGCTTCCTTTGGAGGGAGTGACAGGACAGACAAGTCACAAGCCAGTTCCTTCCTCAGAGCCCTAGTCCCAGCTGAGACTGGACTCATATTCCAAGTGCTGGCTGCTGCAAAGCCTGGGAGGGTGGGGATAGGCACAGGGGCCAGGGAAGGGACGTGGGTACACGGAACAAGATTTTTCTTTCAACAAGATTGAGTCTTTCAACAAACACTATTATTTCCTCTGTGCCAGAGACTGATGATTCAGGGAGGGAAAGGCCCATCTGTGCCTTTCTTTCCCCCAGGACTCCCAACCGGAGGGCCTACAAAACAGAGGCCGTGAGCGGGGCGCAGGGGCCCCAGACCTGGGATTTGAGTCCCTTTCCCCTGCTGACTAGCTCGGTGAGGTGACTTTGGTAATTTAATTCACCATTCTGAGCCTGTTTCCTCATCTGTAAAATTGGGGACAGGGATGGTATTTACCTCATAGGGTTGATATAAAGATGAAACAAGATGCCTGACCAGGAGGATGTATTCAATAATTTGTAGTTACTATTATGGTTCTTTTTATTAGAGAGAGAGCACTGAAGGATGGGTAAGGCCTACAGATGGGTAAACACTGGCCGCTTCCAGGGATGGAGCTAGGGAAGGGTGGGCAGAGGCTGGAATTCGGAGGGGCGATGCATTGGTTCGCCACTGGGGTCAGCAGCTGATGTCTGGTGTGGTAGCAGTGCTGCTCCTACCCAAGGGGGGACCCTCCCATCCCCAGCACACTCACGGGGACTGCTGCTCTGCTCAGACACGCAGGGATGTCCCCCCAGCCCTCCACCCCACCCACGCACAGAGCAGCCCATGAGCCAGACCTCCCAGCCAGACCCTGGCCCAGCGTTGCCTAGGGTCACTCAGGACACCACCAGGAGGAGCCAAGGGGGCCAGTGGAGGCCCAGGCTGCCTGCAGCTCTCCTGTCCCTGCTTTGTTAGGTGGGGTCAGGGTGGGAGCCTGCTCTGCCCCTGTGGGATTGACTGCGCTGGGGACTGGCTCCTATTTCGCCTTCCTCATCCTTCCCCTCCCTCTTCCCAAGGAGCTGAGAACTCACGCACGCATGCGCCCTCTGATCTGTCCTTGTCTCCAGCATGGGCTCTGTCCCTGCTGTCTGCCAGCGGGCCTCTCCTATTCGCATTTGCTGCAGGCTTC